TGCCGGCCCGTTGGAGACCAGCTCCTCCACTTAACCCAGGAGCGAGGTGCTGGGCGCAGTGCTGGGCGGAGCCTGAGTTCCCTCTTACTCCACAAGGAGCACTGTGTGGAGGCCACAGAGCCAGGCTTCACCCGCAGCCCCCCTCTCCCGGCTGGCTGACCGGGGGCACCTGCCACGACCTTCGAGCCTCCTTTCCTTCATCTGCGTAATGGGAGCCACATGCCTGACTGCGGGACGGAGGGTCTCAGAGAGAGCAGACATACGGCAGGGTTAGGCTTCCGGCTCTGCGTACCAGCAGTGGGTGCTGAACAGATGGAGGTGAATTTTCATTCCCTAGTGGTGCCAGGTGCCTTTCTTCCTCAGGCCTTGAGTCTCTTTCATCCTCCCACAGATAGTTAGCGCACACCTACTATGTGTTGGGACTCAGTGTGTGCACCTACTGTGCGTTGGGCCTCGTGTGATGAACAAGATGTGTTCTCTGCTTCGTGGCACTTGTTCTCTATGGGGGGAAACAGATTATAGACGAGGAAACAAACACATCTGTAATTATGAATCGTAGTTAGGTCTGTAAAGGAAGAGATATGGATGTGTGCGTGTGAGTGTGCATGTGCGTGTGTTTGTGCATGTGTGTGTGCGCGCGCGCACGTGCATGTGCGTGTGTGTGTAACTTAGGGAGTCGGGGGGGGCCTCTCTGAGGTGGTGACATCTAAGCCAGAGCCAGAAGGATGGGAAGGACCCCGCTGTACTCACAGCGGGGCTCGGAGCCTCTCAGGCAGAGGGACCAGCCTGTGCAGAGCCCTGAGGAAGAGGAGCTGGGCGTCCATTTACTGAGAGGAGCTCCCCTTTACGTGCAGCTTTGGGTCCTGGACGAGGAGGGTGGGGACCGAATGACCGTGGAGGGGAGAGCAGGGCCGGGTCATGTGGGGAGCTCCCACCTGGGCCGGCTGCTGGCTGGCGTTTAGACCCTCCTGTCCTGGGGTGGGGGAGGCGGGGCTCCAAGGACACATCCTGTTGTTGGCGTTGTGCCCGGGACTTTGGGAGTTCAGAAAATGCTGGTGGGGCTGACGAATGCCACGCTCTGGCCCCGGCCTGGGCCTGGAACACTCCCCTCCTGGCCGCAGCCCCAGCTTTCCTTCACCGGCTCTGCAGCCGGACCGCCCCGCTGCCCTGGCCTTGGGCAGATCGTCCCCTTTTCTGTGCCGTAGTGTCTCCATCTGTGAAATGGGGGTAATCGCAGTGCCTACCCCGGACATTTTCCCATTAGGATCCAGTGAGTCCAGGGCGGGGGCTCAGGGCAGCAGCTGTCGCATAGCTGCGCTCCTGAAAGCTCTCCTCTGTCACTGCCGTGGTGACCAGCTCTGTGGGAAGCAGTGTTTGCAGGAGGGTCAGCACAGGGGGCAGCGAGGGGAGGGCGTGTCTCTCCTGGGAGCCGGACTGCTGGCCTTGCATCGGGGCTCCCCTGGGGGACAGCTCGTCCCCTCTCTGTGCCCGGTCTCCTCTCCCGCACAGCGGGGTGCTCAGGGCCGCCGAGGGAATGGGAGAGTTACTTTATGCGACGTGTGAAGCACAGAGCAGGCCTGTCACAGTGAGATGGGAGCAGTGGCTGTGCTGCGGTCTTTTTAAAATATATATATTTTATTGACTTTTTACAGAGAGGAAGGGAGAGAGATAGAGTTAGGAACATCAATGATGAGAGGATCATCGATCAGCTGCCTCTTGCACACCCCCTACTGGGGATGTGCCAGCAACCAGGGTACATGCCCTTGACGGGAGTCGAACCTGGGACCTTTCAGTCCGCAGGCTGATGCTCTATTCAGTGAGCCAAACAGGTTTCACTGCTGCGGGCTTATCATTAGATCCTTCAGAGCTGGAAGACTGAGCACCAGACCCGCTGAGCCCGCAGCGTGTAGGGGGCTTTCGGAGGTACCCATGGAGGAGGCTCACCTGAGGCTGACTTCCTGGGTCCGAGCCCTGCACCGCGATGCTGCCAGCCCTGGGACTGGGCAGGTGGCAGGGGTGGCAGACCAGGAGCCAGCCCTGGAGACCCCCGGAGCCAGCCCCCTCTGCAGAGGGAGGACCCTTGCTTGGGTCCCCATGGGGCAGTGGGGTAGCCATGGCTGACACCAGGAGTGCGGGACCTCAGGGCACAGGCCTCTGAGTGGCAGGGGGCCTTGGCTCTGCCTGGCACATTCCAGGTTCCTGAGAGGGTGGCCAGGGGCCAGGGTGCCGGAGGGAAGGAGAGAGCCTTTTAAGGAAACATTTCTCTGCTTAAAAAATGGGAGAGAGAGGCGGGGGGGGGGGGGGGGGGGGGGGGAGTAGGGGAGAGAGAGAGAAACAGGGAAACACACAAGGTTAGTGGTCTGGCCAGCAGGCTGGCTGGCATGCACAGCTGTGGGCAGGGGTGGAAGAGGGTGTTGGGGGCACCCAGGCATCAGGCCCTCTCGCTGGGGGCCCACTGCCGCACCTCAGACCTGAGTCCTTAAGGGGTGACTCTGCTGAGGGGCTGTCCCTGCCTCTGGGGGATGGACAGAGACATGGGGTCCCTTCTCTGCACGGCCTCTGGGTGGTGCTGGGAGAGAGACCTCCTGCTGTTCTCTGAGGATGCTGCCCGGGCTGCCCCTGCCCAAAATGTATGCGTAACCCCCTCCCTTCCCCAGCCCCAGTCCGGGATGGAGAGTGGAACCTACCCTTATGTGAGGAAGAAAGGACCGGAGGGCACCGTCCAGGGGGGACAGCAGGAATGGGGAGAAGCCCTGGGGGCCGGCCTCATCAGGGGAACCCACCAGCTCCAGACTGGGGTTCGGGGCAGCAGGTGGGCGGAGAGAGGGAGGAGGCCCCTGCCAGATGCACACTCCTGCCCGGACCCTGGCCGGCTGGGCAGTGCCCCCTGGCTGAGGCCTCGTCTGGTGGGCAAGGTGGGCAGGGAGCCTGCGGGCCACAGTCGCCTCTGGGACCGTCCTTTCCTCCTGGTCTGTTCTCTTGGCACCTTCCCCCCTCCCCCCTCCCCTCTCCCTCTGATCAGCAGTGTGGCTTTGAGTAAATCTTTAACTTCTCTGCGCCCCCTGCTCCTCAACCAGAGGTATAACAGTAGCTTTACGTGGGCAGAGCACTGCTATTAATGCCTGCCCTATGGCACATATTCAGTGCGTGTTAGAGATGGTCTCTGTTTTTGACTTTGTGTGTGGTTTTCCCGCCAGTCCTAGGATAAAGTTGTGTCAGATCAGTGTTTCCCAAAAGTGTGGTACACGTACCCCCAGGGGTACGGGAAGAGTTTGGTGGGGATATGCACTGCAGCGTGCTTAGCTGCGCCTAATTCTACGTTCTCATGAGTACGAGGGGTACTCAGCGTTACGAAATTATAGAAGGGGTACACATATGTCAAAAGTTTGGGAAACACTGGACAGGGTGAAGGACCTTTGCTGGAGAATGAATGGGTGGGGCGGGGAGGGGGGGAGCAGGGGGGCGGGGAGCAGGTGGGAGAGACAGGGAGCCTGTAGCGTGGCCGCGTCAAGAAGCAGGATGCTTTCAGCCTCTCCGGCCTCCTGGAGGTCAGGGCACGAGTCACGTGGGTGTGGTCCCCTCCTGAGCTGGGGAGTCAAGCTGGGTGTCAAGCTGGTCGGACGGCAGAAGGAGTTGGATGGAGAGAGGGCCTGGCTGGGGGGGGGGCCCTGTAAACAGCCAGCCCCAGGCAGGGCTGTGGGCTGTCTCCTTCTCTCCTCCACGGGGTGGTGACTGGGTGGGAGTGGAGGCAGCCGCCCCCTTTATGGCCATCCGCAGCTTGTGACCAGACCCCCCCGTGCCCCAGGGAGAGCCTCCCCCTGCGCTCCCTCTGCGGGCCCCCGGCCTGGTGCTGGGGTCAGGAATCGGAGCCAAGATCGAGGTACGAGCTCCAAGAAAAACGTGTCCCGGCTAGAAAAAAGGAACACATTGAGTCTCTGATAAAGGCCCTGCTAATTGTCAGGGTAGAGGCTTGGCTGCCGGCTGGCAGAGGGATGTTATCTTAGGGTAGGAGCGAGCCCGCCCTCCCTCTCCCCTCCCCCTCCCTCTGTCTGGAGGCCCGAGTTGCCACCTGCCCGCCCCCCTCCCCCCAGGCCATCAGAGAGGAAGAGGAGGGTGATGATACAGTAAGAGCTCACCCATAGAGGGTGCTTCCCGCTCTCCGGGCCTCTGTGTTTGTGAGGGACGGGGTGGCTTTCTCGGGGAGAGCTGGCAGGGCCCGTCACCCACCCGTTTCCCAAGTGCTTTGGGGAATTGTCCGCTGCGTGCCCTCTGACCTGTGGGCAAGACACCTCGGCCTTGGGGAGCAGGAAGAGGCGACGCTTCCTTTTCTAGAGACCTTACATACGTTTTATTTATTTATTAAAAAATTAAAAAAAACAAAAAAACTGTTTATTGAGTTTTCACAGAGAGAAAGAAAGAGGGAAAGAGAGAATCATCGATCAGCTGCCTCTTGCACACCCCCTCCTGGGGATGTGCCCGCAACCAAGGTACATGGCCTTGACCGAGAATCGAACCCAGGACCTTTCAGTCCACAGGCCGATGCTCTATCCACTGAGCCAAACCGGTTTTGGCTTAAATACGTTTTTAAAAAAAATTCCAAACACATCTTACCATATTGCAGAAAGTTTAGAAAGCAGCACAAAGAAAATAAATCCTTATTTTTCTTGCCATTGAATCCCGCGATGAAAGCTCGAGTGCGCTGGCCTTCAGTCTCTCAGCATCTGCATATTTCTGCAGCATTTGAAAACAGAGACGTGCGTTTCATTCTTACCTTCCTCAGCCCCCCTCCCTGCCAGCGGTGCTGCCTGAGTATTTTTCCATGCTGCCACGCGATCTCCCAGTGGGCTCTCAGACGGCAGGGGGTCCGTGTGTGCGCGCTGAGGGAAGGGGCGTCGTGCACGGAGGCGGGTGGCAGTGGAACGATCTCAGGAGCCCCCCCCCCCCCAGCTCTCCATAGGAATGAGAGACGCTAACCTTGCCTTTCTCTGTTCCTCCTACAGGTGGCTGCCCCCTGCATTCCTCCATCCAACCATGAACTGGTGGTGAGTGACAGTCGGCTCCCTACCCCGCCAGCCCCTCCTCCCCTCTGTCCTCTGCTCCCCGCTGCCGCTCACTTCAGCCCCGAGCACGCTGGCAGCCCCCAAGGGTGCCGGCTAATTAGGAAAGGGAACGGAGGGGGCCTCGCTCCGAGAGGCTGAAGCGGGGCCGGGAGGAAATGAGTCATGAGGTCCCTTCTGATGGGATGCAGGGCCTCCTGCTTCAATCTGGAGACCGAAGTCCTTGGAAAAAAACCATAAAAGGGCATCTCGCCCGTCTGCAGGCCTGGCCAGGTGCCTGTTGTCCTGGAGCTTCCAGAACCGGGGGCTGGCATCTCCTCCCGCCCGCTTGGTCCTGGGTCAGGTACCCTCCAGCGGGAGGCAGGGGAGGGCGGCGTGACCCACAGAATCCACCTGCCTGGGCAGCTGTTCTCGTTCAGGTGGCCTGTCCCACCTCCACGCTGCTTGTCTGATTCTGCTTTTCTGCTCTTGGGAGTCCTCTCTTCTCCCCCAGTGGGAAAAGCACGAACAGGACAGGGCTCCCGCGAGTTGTGGCCTGATCCCAGCTGGGCTGATCTGAAATGTTGGGAGCTTTCCCTCCTGCCTTCTTACCCGTCAGAGGCCCCTCCTGCACCTCACCCGCTGCTGGAGGTGGGTGGGGCCTGGAGGCTGGAGGAGAGGAGCCTGCATGCCTGCAGGTGTGTGCTTGTGCATGTGTATATGTGTGTGTGCGTGCACGCGTGCATGTTTATGTGTACAGAGGAGAGTCATGGAGGGGCCCTGTGGTCACAGTTTGACCCACTGGCAAGTGACGACACTGATGTGGGTGGGGACCTGGGGAGGGACCAGGTGTCAGGGGGCCCGGCAGTGACAGGTGTCTGCACACCTGTACCATGACCTGCTCTGCCTGGATGCTGGCATCTCAGCCAGGCCACCTGGTCTCCTGCCACGTGGCAGTGGCCCAGTCCCGCCCTCTTTCTGGACATCAGTCTCCCTTTCTGCCACACAGATGGCTGAACTAGATGCCTGAGAGGCCATCTCCATGCCGATAAGTCTTCCCTCCATTCAGGGCTGTTAATGGGATGGAGTTAAAGTCTGTGTGTGTGCTGGTGGCTCTTAGACGCCTCCTGGGTCCAGCCCAGTGCCACCGCGCTCTGCACAGGGGCCCTGCCCTGCCGAGTGAGTCCCTTTTCTGCAGCGGCCCTCCTCCCTCTGGGCCTCCGCTCTGCCCTGCTGGGCCTCTCCAGAAGTGGGGTGTGATTGCTTCAGCGGAGCCCAGCTGAAGGTCATCTGACCACAGCGGCCGTGGCGGGTTTAGGTGGGGGGCGGGCCGGGTGCTGCAGGGGAGAGGCCAGGGTGCAGGCCTGGTGTGGAGCTGCCAGGGAGAAGTCTCTCTGGGATTTCAGAGAGACCCTGGAGGGCGGGCAGGAGAGGTGAGGCGGGGTGAGCAGACCTCTCATCATTCCAGCCCAGCTGCCATCCCGGAGAACAGGATGTCCTTGGCTGGTCTCCCACGGCCGGGGGTCTAGGGCAGAAGCCAGAGGCCTGGCCACCAGGAGAGAGCTTGGTTTCTGTGAGGAAGGGGCAGGGGTTGGGACAGGAGGGAATGGTTGGCATTCCAGCCTGGAGGCTGCGGTCAGCACCAGGAGGACCTTCTCCTCTCTGTGATGTGCCCCACTGTGCCCAGGCTCTGCCCTTCGCGGAGGCTGGTCAGCCACCTGGTGGGGAAGGGGCCGTGACGCCAGATTGTGCCCCCAGAGTGGTCATGAGCAGGGGAGTTCGTGTCTCCCCCCCTCCTCTTCCCCCCCCCCCCCCCCCCGCCCGTGGATCCCAGCTTCCCCTGTGGCCTTGGACACATTGCTTAACCTCTTGTGACCTCAGTTTCCCCTCTGCAGATGGGGAGTTGGAAATACTCCTTGCCTTGTAAAAGGTTAAGAGAGTAGGAGGAGCAGTTAACCCGTTGAGTTATGTATTCAGGAGCCTCCAATGGCTGCCCCCTTGGCTGGGAGTGACAGTCCCAGGCTCTCCCAGTGGTGGGCACAGCCCTCCAGGAGAGTTTCCTCCCGGACCTCACCTCCCCCTCGCTCACTCCAGCCCCAAGCCCTTCTCCTGGGTCAGGATGCTGCCTCAGGGCCTTTGCATCTGCTATTCCTTCTGCCTGGAAGGCTCCCCCCCCCCCCCCCCCCCCCCCCCCCCCCCCCCCCCCCCATTCCTTCAGGGCTGTTTCCTCCCTCAGGTACTATTCAAGTGTCAGCATTTTCTTTCCCTCAACAACCTTATCTCCCTTCCCGGCTCTCTCGGCCTCCCAGCATGCTTCGCCATCTGATAAGTCTTGTTTGCTTATCTGGTTTAAGAGGCTCCCCCTACCCCCACCCGCATGTCAATCCCATGAGCAGGGATTTTTCCGTGTTGTGTTCAGTGCTGTGTCTGGCACACAGTAGGCACTCTGCAGGTTTACTGAGTGACGGGGAGACAGGCGTTCAGTGGAATGCCTGGGAGATGAGGTGCTAATGCTGGAAGCTCAATGCCGGCCTGTCCCCGGGGAGTGAGAAAGTGGCCCCGGGGAAAAGGGAGAAAGTCTGGCTCCCCCCAGAGAGAGCACTTAGCACCTGTTTCCTCACAGCAGGCCAGGCAAGTGCTCCGAGTGGGTTCAAAGAGGGAGGAAAGGGCGGGCTGTATTTTTCCTTCCTTTCCCATTCTCCGCCTGCCCTTCAGCCTCCGCAGGGCTGGACTCAGGCCGCCCTGCCCCTTCCCTCTTGCCTCACACTGGGTGACTGTCTGTCTCTCATATGTTCTCTATGTCCCCAGCTCACCCACTTTGCTTGAATCCTTACCCTCCCCTCTGCCCCCCAATCAGGACCATCATGCCTGGACACAGGATGCAGCCCAGCCTCAGGGCTCTGCCAGCCAAACACTCTTTCCGGCCTGTGCCAGGCCAGCCAGGGCAAAGTGGCTTAATCTTCAACCAGTGTTTTCGTCTTACTCAGCAGACGCTGCCTAAGGCCTTTGGGAGAAGGGTCCTATGGTCACGTCCCTCCCGGGGCCCGTGGGGGGGATGGAGAGGGAGAGCCCTCGTTTGCTGCGGACACTCCTGAAGCAGCTTTCCTCAGCTTCTGAAAAACAAGAGCCAGAAGGAATTTCCCGAGGGAGATAGCCAAGCAAGTGGCCACCAAAGCCGGCCAGATGCTGAGCCCTCTGCACGTGCAGCCTGGCGCCCAAGGGACCCGGACTGCAGGGGACGGGCCAGCCCGCGGAGGGGGCTTGCGAAGATACCCTTGTGCATTGGAGCGTGGGGCACCGTGTCTGATGGGGGAGTAATCCCTTACTCAGTTTGAACTTCAAGCCCTGATGAATTCCATCTGAGGGCACTGAGGGTCCTGGGTCGCCATCTTTGGGAGATTCTTAAAAACGAAGCAAGGCCAGGAGAGAGGAGTCTGAGAAAGCCTTTAGAGAAGAGGGCAGTTGTGAGCATTTCCTTCCAGAGGATTCCCAGAGTGGTGGTGGTGGTGGTGGTGGTGGTGGTGGTGGTGGTGTGGGGTGGTGAACATCCCAGTTTGTGCAACAGCTAGAGTGGCTTCCTCTGGAGAGGGAAAATATGGGGGTGGAGGGGGTGTAGAATGGGAGTGAGGACGTGCTGAAGGGCAGATTTGCTTATTTTCTGTTGCTCTCCAAAGCCGAGCCTAGTAGGTAGAGCTTCCTTAGAGAGGAGACGACTTGGGTTAAAGAAACAGCAGCTGATCGGTGTTTCTCTCTCATCGATGTTTCTAACTCTTTATCCCTCTCTCTTCCTCTCTGTAAAAAAACAATAAAATATATTTAAAAAAAGAAAAGAAACAGCAACGCTCTCTAACACCTAAAATGGCCATCATGGGGGTCGCTGTCACGGGAACACATGCTCACTGACACCTCTTAGGGGGAAGGCAGCTGCTGATGGGAGGGTGTCCTCCTGGGGAGTCTCAGACAGAAATGCTCAGGGTCCACTGAGGTCTCACACTGGGCTCTGAAGGGACATGGTTTTTGGAGGTCCAGGCATCCATGAATGTGCTGACCACTTGCCCTGTGACCCCCACTGGGAGAGGCCCCGGTCCGATGAAGCGTCCTGGGGGACCGTGCTGGGGGTGGGGTGGGGAAGAGAGAGAGAGAACTATATTATGGAAACAGTTAGTGCTCAATCAGGGGTTCTGACCAGAGGTGGCCTTTAGGGTCCAGGGCAGGAAGTGATCAGTGTGTGCTGCGATGGTTGAGGAAGTCATATACTGAGTCAGGGTAAGACTTCAGCGATGGAAGAGAGGAGAGAAGGAGGAGAGAGGGCCTTCTGATCAGAAGGTGGCAGGGCTGAGGCAGAGCAGGGGCGGGGCCTTGGTACCAATGACCAAGACCGATGGGGCTAACCCAGTGTCCTTGCTGGGGAGACGGGAGGGCCAGGCCATACCGTCTTACCTCGGTGGCCCTGGCTGGGGCGCTGGCGGGAACAGCCTGAGTGGGAACAAGCATGGCATTCACGGTGAGCAGAGAGGAGGTGTGAGCAGAGAGAGAGGAGAGAGGGGACAGCAGTGGGATCCTCCCGAGGAGGAAGGGGCCACATGAGGGAGGAGTCCAGAAGTCCTATTGGGGAACTTGAACTCGATGAGCTCAGCACTCAGAGCCCTGTGGGTCCCTGAGTGGGGAAATGCACTCAGGCGGTGCTGAGAGCCGGGAGTCAGCTGCCAGCTGTGGGGTGTGGCTCGGCGGTGAGGGGGCTGCCAGGAGGAGGGCTGGGGCGCCAGATGAGGCTGGACAGGTGCTCCGCGTGGGCACAGGCGGCCAGAGGGCCTTGAGGAAGGGCCTACAGAAGCACAGGCTCCCAGGTCCCTGGCTGACAGGCAGAAGGGCATCCAGGGGGAGGCTGGCAGGAGGCGGTGAGAACTATTCGGGCCTGGCCGGGCTGGCCTGGCGAGCGCTTGTGAGCCGGCGGGGTGGGAGTGCCCGCAGTGGCCCAGCCTCAGCCAGGAGCTGGGCGCTGGTCC